TGTGTACTTCTGAGGGTTTTTTTTTAGTATTTTAAGGTAACGGACCAGTGAATCAGTGGATATTGTTCTCGCAAATAGCGGAGTCCTACTATAATTCCTCTCTTGCTCTCTGGACAGAAAGAGGGATTTGGGAGAAGGCCCTGAGCCACAAAAAGAATCTGGGAAGGCAAGTGACATCCAAAGGCCACACCTTGCCCATCCCTGATTTAATGGTGGCACCCGCTCAGATCAAGCCTAAAATTACCCCCACCCATCCTGATTAAGCTGCTGTTAATCTCAGTTGCTTTTCTTAAAATATGCATAACAGTTGAGATCTGAACAAAAAATATCAAGGATCTGTTTACTTATTTTTTTGGAGAACCAGGGGGATTTCTGTAGGGTTGCGGTGGGGGATACTTAATGAAACATTTCATGCTCCATGCCTGCTGCTGTCTATTCCTATGTTCCCCCAAGCTGGTTGTGTAGACATGGTTCCAGCTGCTTCCAAGGTTCTCCAACAGTCTTTCCTGTGCTGAGGATGTCAGAGTGAGGATAGGAAGCATTATGGCATAGCAGTCATCATGTGATCTCAATGTAAGTGCATAATCAGGAAGCAGTGCTTCCTGCCCTTGTTCTGATGTATCCTGGGTTAGCAAGGAGCTAGGAAGCACTGAAGAAACAGCTTCCAAGAGCAGGGGACGGTATCAATGTCATTGCTGTTAGGTGAACACTTCTCTTTTGTAAATGCTCATAGAATTTGCACTGTGTGAAACAAAGAGGCAAAATGCGTGCATGTATGTGCATAAAGATCCGTTTGGGTTCAATACTCAGGAGTAGTTTTCTTCGCATATATTGATAATAAAAGACCCATGTTTTCTTCGCATATATTGATAATAAAAGACCCATGTCTGGCTTTCAAAGCCACATGATCTGCACACCTGAAATTGGGCGTGGCACACTAAGGAGTTCCTAGAGATGTACAGTTCAGGATTGGTTGGCATTTAAAAAGCATTCTTTTTAAATTAATTAATGTAACTAAATGTGATCCTATGTTTGAAATCTGCAGTACCATCTTCAGTCACTAGGAGGTAGACATCCCTAAGCAGTTTACAACTTTGTGATAAATTCTGAAGTCCGAAGAGAGTAGATCTGCTCCCTTCTGCTGCTGCAGGGCAGCTCCCACTTATAATCATGGATTAACCAGATCATTGTGTCAGTAGCTTGCCAGTGTGCCCTATGAGTATCCAGTGGAGTAATTTTGCTTGAAGGCTTCAGTGTATCAAATTAAGAGCTATCGTAATGATGATATTATGAAGATTTTCCTTCCTTCTTTCCTTCTTTCCTCCCTACCTACCATGCAGCTCTTGACCAGAATGAGGCATGCTTCCACTGAAATTTTGGGGCAATGCAATCCCCACTCAGTCCACGAGCTGCCTTTGGAATATTTTATGCATCTGCCAGCCAGATTTCAAAATATACCATTCCATTCCCCCATCATTGGCCTTATTTCCTGGTTTTCCCTTGCGAACACTGAGAATTTCGTAAACCACTGAACATGCTTTCTCAAGTCCTTAGTTATTATTTTTCTAAGATATTAACTATCCCTACAAATTTGGGATTACTCAGAATTGCCTGTTACTTCCTTTCTTCTTCAGTGTGCATGGCACTGTTTTGACTATGGGACAAACACTCAGCTCTGTAAAGCAGAAATAAAAGGAAACAACGCTCTTGTCTGTTTAATTAGTATGCCTCAAGAACCTTGTGCCATTCAATACTACAACTGTATATCATATAATAAGCAATGCTCTTGCCCTGGCCATCACGAATATACTCTTTGAAATATTGTGAAAATTATGGCAGCAGTGTCTGCTTCCCAAGTTACACAGATAGAATGGAATTTTGCATGTTGTACGCATCTGTTGTGAGACTCAGCTTGTTGCTATGCTCATGGGAGGGGAAGAAAACTTTTCCCATGTTTGAGAGAACTGCATCCTGTTACGCTGACATTCCTTTTCTTTCTCCTCTCCTCCCACCCACCCACCACTTCTGCCTCTCCCGCCTCCCTTTGTTGATCTGGAGCAGTGGCAGCATCTGCTATCAAGGATTCAAATGCCATCCAGACATGGGCGTGCTTTATTGTCAAGAGCACTTATAGTTCCGAAATTGCCAATCAGTGTGCGGGGGCGGGGTGGGTGGGTGTCTGTTGGTTGAAAAATCCTAATTGCTTAATAGATGTATCTGGAAAAAAAATATACCAGGCACTTTAGTGTCTTGATCAGTTGACCTTAGTAACAAGAGAGCCTTTTCACATAGGAACTTATTAAATCCATTATACTGCAATCAGCCAATACATAAAAGAAAACCCGACATTGGGGTGGGTAAAATTCAGGCTTCTGCAATCTACTTTGTTTTGCATGAGAAAATCAAAGTCCACCAACTGGAGTCAAACTTGAAACACAGCTCAACATGCACTTAGCAGAATAGTGTGCCTGTGAACATCTAGCTTAATCCAAGGCCAGCATCCTGCCAGCAAGCCAGACTAGATCCAATGGACAAATGAGATTAACAGAAGTGGTGACGAGCTGTTCAGCACTGATTCACTCAGTCTACCCTGGTTGGGCTACCAACAGCTCAAGAATCTGTTTTTAGCATCTGAACTGAACTCCAGGCCTTTTACATAAAAGTACTTCCCTGCTTCTCCTTCTTCCTCTCCCAGGCTTTCTTAATTTCAGCAGCTTAATTTAGAAAATGTTGTGTAAAGGCAGTTTACTGTAGTTCTTTTTAAACAAACAGGCTTCACAGAAACCTCCAACTACCTGAAATCTTACCATTAGATCTTCTGATCTTCTGTCCATTGGGATAAAACACATTTTCCCCAATGTGTTATATATAAGTCTATAACTGTTTACACCGTTAAGTTCCACTCTTTTAAATGGAATTTATGCCTACCAAAGCACACATAGGATTGTGTCCTTCAATTATTTTCTGCGCTCTATTGTGCTGTGTTCAGACTTAGCATTAACAGTGCAAAAGAGATTCAAATGGGCATGTTAGTGTTGCATGGAGATCCACTGTAAGATCTTTGCAATAAACAAGCTAGATACAAAAACAGGACATGCACGGGGCAGCAAAGGTTGCACGCAACTCTTCTCTTTATGTTCCATCCTTGAGCACAAGGCTCAAGCCAAGAATCATTTGGCAGAGCAAGTAGGACCTATGTGAAGAGCATGACCTATTGAAGAATGCAGAACTCTTGTGTATTAAATTCTTAATGGGAAGACAACTAATCAGTTATTTCCAGGCTACTCAAAAATGGATTATTTCTGGGTCCAGTTCTTATGCCTGAAAATCAAGATCTATGAATGGCAACCAAGAGTATGATTCAAAGCCAGCTTAAATTCTTTATACATACATATGCATGTGTCATGAGCCTGTGCCCACAAAATCCATGAGGTTTGCAAATCAAGTCCCACTAAAATGAATGGGAGAGGAACATGGGTACAAAATTCTACATTATCCATTTATATCTGCATTTAGAAAACTTCTCAGTGGATGATGTCCCTAATTACAAGCTAATTATATGATAGCAATATCATTTGATGATACCATTTATTTGCCAATGAGAAATAAAAAGAACCAATGAGAAATGCTGGCTTAATACAGTGCATGTGTGACTTCTGAGAGTCAAATTAGAAGTATAAATACATTGAAGCACAGTGTATTTGAGTACAGCAAATCTTGTCTCAATCATGCATTGCTACAGACTAGATTGCTTTAATGGGGCTGCCTTTAAAGACAGGTCAGAGGTTTTAGCTGATGCAAAACATAGTGGTTGAGATGTTGACAAATGTACATACTAAATGCCCCTATTACATGTACTGTACATGTAAAGACCAGATCTCCCTCTTTGAGTCTGCCTAGGAATTAAGATAATCAGGGGAGGCCTTTCTCTCGGCCCCACCACCTTCACAGGTACACTTAGTAGGGACATAGGAGAAGACCTTCTCTGTTGTAGTTCCCAGACTCTGAAACTCTTTCCAGTCGGAAGCCAGGCTGCACTCGGCCCCACCACCTTCACAGGTACACTTGGTAGGGACATAGGAGAAGACCTTCTCGTAGTTCCCAGACTCTGAAACTTTCTCCAGTCGGAAGCCAGGCTGCCCCCATCTTTGCTGTCCTTCCACAAGCAAGCAAAGACCTTTCTCTTCAGGCAGGCTTTACCTTAGTGACTAGCTGTCTGGAGGAGAGGTTTTTGAATGGACTGTTTTGCTCCGTTGCTTAAAAATGTTTTTTAATCTTGATTTTAATTACCATTTTCAATATAATACTGTACTTGTTTAATTCTTTTTTAATATTGGTATATTTACTGTTTTTAGCATCCAAATATTGTCTTCTTAATGATGTAACTGGTCTTGGGTTCGTTGAAGGAGATACTGTTTTTAGCATCCAAATATTGTCTTCATAATGATGTAACTGGTCTTGGGTTCTTTGAAGGAGAAAGGCAGGGTAAAATAGTTTAAATAAATAAATAAATAAATAAATAAATAAATAAATAAATAAATAAATAAATGTAAGGCCATGCTTCTTTGTTTATTGAACTGTAGTGTATGTTTTAATATTGAGTCTTAATTTAAACTGAATTGATAATTCTTGTGTGTTGCCTTGAGAGAATATTGTATAGTCTAAAAAGCATTTTACACATTTCCTGAATAAAATAATTTTTTTAAAATTACACACCCAACCTCTTTTTATGTATGATGAAGATTTACATCTTCTAGTTCTAGTTGTTGTTGAGTTACGGTTGGGTCCAGCTAAAAGATATTGACTCAGCATGAAATAGCTTTTAATGGTAAACTATTTTCTAAATGTTATTTTTAGGATGTCAAAAACCATGTATCAACATTACCCATTAACCAGACTCCTTTATAGTCACTCTTCATCATGAATCTAACCAGTTTGCTTTCCAACCAAATATGCAGAACACTATAAAGGAAGAAAGAAAATATGAAAAACATGCATTATTAAGCTTTAAAAGTACCAAAAAGTATTTATTCAAGATCACTATAAAAACAATTCATTCTAAACAAGTTATAACAAACATAGGTTAGGACAAAGGGTTTTTTTTCTTAGTGGTATCAGTAATTTAGTGTTGCAAAACTAACATGAGTTGTACTCATTGTTTGCATACTTAAACACACATTTCTCACATGCATCTCATTTTTCCAAAACCCTCATCAGTACAAAAAGCACCATTCTATCATCTTCTATTCACTTACATCCTAACATTCATTTTCAAGGCACTTCTTGGAGAAAAAAATTCAGTCAAGAACTAGCATTCAAAAGAATTGATGAGTTTTCAAAGTCAGCATTTGACATTAGAAATGTAAGAACAGTTACACTGCCAGAGTAGTAATATGTGTTCACATTCTTGTCAAAAGAGTGGCAAGCCTGGCTCATCCTAAATAAAGGCTTCATTAAATTATGATTAAGGTCAGTGGCCAGAATTCTATTGCTGTTCACACTGAGGTTTGCATAACTTGCCGCATCTACTTGGAGCTAATTAACAGGTGGCCAGAGAGGATCTCAAGTGTGCAACTGGCAGGCAGATGTCTGAGATGTACCCTGGAACTTTCAGCAATTAGCAGCACTTAGCTTTGGTCAGTGAAGCAAACCTTAGGAGGAGGAGCTTAATGAACAGAGAGACTACAGTCCCCTAATGCTTTGCTGTTCCCATGAAGCTTAGAATGCTTCACCCACACCCACGCTTTAATGGCCATCTGAACAGAGAGTCTTTGCAAGGAACAGGTGAGGATCCTGAAACTCCTCTGAGAACCTGGATATTTCAGCTAAAACTACCAGTGTTCTAGCCTGGAAAATTCTTGTTCAGTTCTGGTAGTTCTAGTGAAACAAAATCCCATGCCTAGTGACTTTCACAGCGTATTGCTGTGGTTGTATTCCACAAAGAAGCATGTTGCCATGACTCCTGTTCTATCCATCATTCCAAAGATAAACAGTAAAAGCACAAAAATGCCTGTATATGCCTGGTGGACACAGCAATGGCATGAATAGCCTCCATTTATTAAGACGGTGGCATACCAAATAAGCAAGGCTTATGGTACTGGTTCTCCATGAAAAGCTGGTGTGGACAACTGTTCACATGGAGTAACAGCTACATCAAACTGCAGCCCTGTAAAGGCCAACTGAATGATCTTTAATTTATTCATTTGTATGGCACATAAACAGTGCAAGACCAGAGTTAAAGGCAACCTGAAAGGCACAGAAACCAGTTTAGTTGAGAACTTTTATATAGGGCTCCTTAAATGTTGTCATTGTCTCATTCTCATTATGTAAGTTCATTTCCTGAGGATGATTAGCTTAGCTAGAGTTAGATCCACAGGCTAGTGATTATTAAAAGTAGATTTTTTTTACTAGATTACATCAGTGGGGCAGATGATGACAGGGCAGTTATAAAACTCAGCCCACAAAGACCTTCCTACTACTGGTAGATTTTCTTGGATAGGGACCATTGCTCACCCAGTGACAGTAAACAATAGAGGTGTTTTGACTAAGGGTGCTTTGAGAGAAGAGAAATTAGAATCCCACGGTAAATTGGTTTGGTCCCCAGAGCAGAAGGCAGGAGTTAAAACAGCCTTCAGTAATTTCAAGGAAGTCTTATTTTTGTTTGAGTTTAAAAAAAAAAACACCTCTGTTCTAGAGAAATCACCCACTTGCCTGACGAGCCTCAATTTTTGCACAGTGAATGTCCTGAACAAAGCCAGCAGCAGCTACTCTTCCCAGAAGGCCTTGCTCCATCATGATACCCCCCCCGCACCTGCTGACTTCCAACATAAGGGAACGCCTCAGCTCGTAGTGTTATGTAGGCTACGTCTCTAGTCTGGAAACCGCTGCAACAAATGATCCTCTCCCCGGCGAGCACTGCTGCTCCCTCCCGCACCACTGTCCACAAAGCGTTCACAAGGGAACTCAATGAGGTCAGCCTCGCTGAAGGCACAGACAGGGCTACGGAGTGGCCGGTGGGACTGGAAGCCGGAAAAATCAGCTGAGACGCCCGTGCCCATGGAGCGCAGGGGTCGGCGGGTTGAATACATCTGCCTCACGTGTACCGGTGATGCTGCCTTCCGTCGCCGGCACCCTAGAACCTTCTTCCGCACCAGGCGGGAGGCCCAGGCCGCCAGAGCCAAGAAGAGGAGCAGCACATTGACTGCCAGCAGCACCAGGGTAAGAAGCTGTTGGTCCATGCTTTGGGTCCCACCTGCCACAGCCGCAGCCCCACCTGCACTCTTCTCAGGCAAGGTGACCAGCCCTACACAATGGTCCCGTGGTGCAACGGGGCAGATGCGGCCCCCGATCATTCCCTCCACACAAACCAGGTAAGGGGTATCAGGATGCAGCTCCTGCAAGGTGGCTACTGGCTCACTCCACTCAGGGAGATAAACAAAACGCTGGAACTTTACGGCCGCTCCGAAGCGATCGAAAAGGATCCGGAAACGCACGGGGCCCAGCAAGCGAGGGCTACGATGTGGTCGGACTCCCCAGCGCACAGTCACGGCATCAGCACTCACAGCTTCCACCGACAAGTTGTACAGAAACAACTTGTTAAAATCACAAGGGTCTGTGACCAGAGGAGGGCTGCCAGACGCTGAAGAGACCAGGTGGTGTTTCCCTGCCCTCCTAGGCCAAGCCACCGCAGGGAAAGAATATGGCCTAGCACTGACACGCATGCTGGGCGTTGAGGTGATATAACCTGTGTCAGCCCCCTGACCGCCCATTTTGGGCGCTGGTGCCAGTATCTTCTGTGAGCTCCCCAACTCCATGGTGGAGGCAGAAGGCAGGGAGCTCCGTTCCTCGGGCTCTAGGCTTGGGGTGCTGAAGCTGCCGTTGCCTCCAAAGGAGGGAGAAGGAGAGGCCAGGACTTCCACACAAGAAGACCCATTAGGAAGAGGAAGAAGTTGTGCATCCTCCAAATAATCAAGGTATTTCCCAGCCAAGGCAGGGGGCTGGCGGCACTGCACAAACACCGTGAGGAGCCTTCCCTGAGCATGCCAAGAGCCCAGCCAGTGCTTCAAGCCTCGCAGGCGGCAATCACAGCTCCAGGGATTCCCATCGAGTTCCAGACGATAAAGACCTGGGCTGGAAGCAAAGAGGTCTCCAGAGACCGTGGCCAGCACGTTTTCCTGTAAGCTGAGCTCTCGCAGCTTGTGCAAGTGACCAAAAGCACCCATTGAGAGGGCCGTGAGCAAATTGTGACTCAGGTCCAAGACTTCCAGGTTCCGCAGTGGCTGCAGCAGGTTGGCGGGAAGTTGGCTCAGGAGATTTCCTTCCAACCGCAATTCTTTGAGGGCCCCGAGACCCACAAAGGCTTCCGAGGCCAACCATGCCAGGCGGTTGCCACTCAAGGACAACTTGGCCAGGTTGGAGAGGTGCTGGAAGAGGCCTCTGCCCAGCTGTTGCAGGTTATTGCCCGAAAGAAGAAGGGTGCTGAGCAAGCGCATCGGCCGGAAGGTCTCTGCATGGCGCAGCAAGCTCTGCTGGTTCCCGGAGAGGTCCAGGAAGCGGAGCTTCCCCAGGCCAGCGAAGGCGCCGCGGCTCAGCCAGCGGATGCGGTTGCCCTCCAGGTGCAAGTAGAGCAAATTGGTCAGCCCTGAGAAAGTGGCGTCGCCCAGCGAGCCCAATGTGTTCCCATCCAGCCGCAGCTTGACCAGGCTGCCCAGCCCAGCCAAGGAAGCGGCATTCAGGGAAGCGATTTCATTGGCGTTCACATAGAGGATGCGCAGCTTGGCCAAGGGGCGGAGGATGCCGGGGGCCAAGCTGGCCAGGAGATTGTTGCCCAGGTACAGCTCCTCCAGGCGCTCCAGGCGCTCGAAGGCCTTGGGGTGAAGCGTCCGGATGCGGTTGTACTGCAAGTCCAAGCGCTGCAGCGCCACCAAGCGGTGAAAGTCGAAAGCGGAGATGTTGGCGATGAAGTTCCCGCCCAAGCTGTAGGTGAGGATCCCCTGCGGCTCCGGAGCCTTGGGCACGGCCCGCAGCCCTCGGTTGGTGCAGAGGAGGTGCTGCTGCTGCTGGCAGTCGCATGGCTCCGGGCAAATGGGCTCCGCCGCCGCCGCCGCCGGGAGCAGAGCCAAGAAGCAGCACAGGAGGCGCAGCGGCATCAGGCGGACTTTGCGCGGACCCCGCCGTGGGAGCAGCTGCTGCAGCGGCGGCGGCTTCTCCATCCCACTCCGGCT